TTCCGATTCTGTGTCTCCCTCTCTCTCTCTGCCCCTCCCCCGTTCATGCTCTGTCTCTCTCTGTCCCAAAAATAAATAAAAACGTTGAAAAAAAAATAAAAAAAAAAGAATAATCTTCACTATCTACAAAATATCTTGCTGAGGTTTTGATACAAATTGCATTAGCCTGTATACAAATTTAAGAAAAATTGGCCTCTTTACAGTGTTGGGTGTTCCAGTTCAGAAACATGATTTCTCCATTTTTTTAGAAAGTTGATTTTTTTCATCCATGTTATGTAGTTTTAAGCATAGAATTCCTGTCCATTATTTGTTAGATTTTCAGCTGCATATTTAGTGTTTTTGAGTGGTTAAAGTTGGTATTTTTAAAATTTTGTTGTCCCTGTTGTCCATTCTGTATCCTGTGACCATAATCTTATTAGTTTTAGGAGTTTTCTTGAAGATTCTTTGGGATTTTGTATATAGTCATGCATCTATGAATAAGAAAGTTTTCTTGTTTTCCTTTTTTGACTATATGCTTTCAATTTTTGTCTTTCATAAGCTACAATATCTAGGACTATGGTGAATATGAATGATAATGGAAGTCATTGGCTTGTTCTTGATCTTAGGGGAAAATAGTCCTTTCGCTATTAATATTAGCTATAGTTTTATAGATGCTTTTTGTCAAGTTTAGTTCCCCTCTATTACTATTTTTCTGAGTTTTTATAATCATGAATGAGTGTTAAAATGTTTCTTAAATGGATTTTTGTATTTACTGATAGGATCATGTGATTTTTTTCTTTAACCTGATAATGTGGCTTTCAAATGGCTTTCAAATACTGAGCTAGTCATGTGTTCCTAAAATAAAACCCACTTGGCCATGTTGTATAGTTCTTTTTATATTTGCTGAATTCTGTTTCCTGATATTTTGTTAAAGAGTTTCCTGTCTATATTCATTAGGGGTATTGATTTACAGTTTTCTTTTATACTGTCTTTGGTTTTGTATCAGGGTCATACTATGTTCATAAAATTTATTGGGAATTGTACCATCCTCTTACTTTTCTAAAAGAAATTAGATAGAATTAGTGTTCATTTTTATTCAGACATCTGGTAGAATTCTTCTATGAAACTCAGCCTGAATAGGTCTTTTTTTTGGGAGATTCAAGTTCCTTAATAGTTATAAGGATATTCTAATAGGTGATTCATATAAGTGATTTATAGAAGTGTGTGCTTTTCAAGGAATTGAATGACCCATTTTGTCTAAGCTGTTAAATATATATGTGTAAAATTTTTCGTAATATTCTCTTATCCTTTTGATGTTCTCAGTGTTGGTAGTGATGCCCTCTCTTTCGTTCCTGGTATTGATACTGTGTTCTTTCTTCTTTCCAGATATTATAGGGTTCCTTCTTTTATTTCATTTCACCATTGAGTACTTCTTTCAGGCAGTCTTTTAGAAGAGGTCTGCTGTTAACAAATTGTTTTAGTTTTACTTCATCTTAGAATGTCCTAGTTTCCTCTTCATTCCTAAAGGATATTTTCACTGGGCATGGGGTTTTGAGATGATAGTTATTTTCTTATAATACTTAAAAAATGTTGTGATAATTTCTTTTAGCCAATTTTCATGGCTTTACAATAAGAAATCCACTGTTACTTGAATTGTTTTCTTCATATATGTTAGTTTCTCTGTTACTGCTCTCAATTTTTTTCTTTTTCTTTAGTTTTCACAAATTGGCTATGATGTATCTTGGATTTGATTAATTTGGCTTGATTACTTTGGATTTATCCTTTCTGGGGTTTGGTCACCTTCTTCAGTGTCTAGATTTTTTTTTGCCCCTAAATGTGGGAAGTTTTCAGCCATTATTTCTTCAAATATTTTTTCAGTCCCCCCTGATTTTTTTTTTCTTTTCAGGATTCTGATTGACATGATGGTTAAATATTTTGTTTGAGTTCCTCAGTTCCTTGAATTTCTGTTTATTTTTCCCTCCAGTTTTTTTTTTTTTTTTATGTTGTTCAGATTGGGTAAATTCAGTTGTTTTATTTTCCAGTTAACCAATTATTTCCTTGTGTTCTCCATTCAGCTGTTTAACCTATTGGTTTTTTTATTTTGGTTAATGTATTTTCAGTTATAAAATTTCCATTTGGTTCTTTATATTTTCTCTGGTAAGGATTTCTATTTCTTTGATAAGTTTTCTATTTTTCTTTTTTTTAAATGCATAATTACTAATTTTATCACGGCTGCTTTAAAATGTCAGATAATTTTTTAAAAAAAGTTTTAATGTTTATTTTTTTGAGAGAGAGACTGAGCATGAGCAGGGGAGGGGTAGAGAGAGGGAGACACAAAATCTGAAGCAGGCTCCAAGGTTTGAGCTGTTAGCATAGAGCCCAACTCTGGGTTTGAACTCATGAACCGTGAGATCATGACCTGAGCCGAAGTTGGACATTTAACCAACTGAGCCACCCAACTGCCCCTGTTTGTCAGATAATTCTAACATCTTTGTGCTATTGGTATTGCCAATTACTGATTTTCATTCCATTTAAGATCTTCCTGGTTCTTCGTGTGATTAGTGATTTTTTTATTGAAAACTGGACATTTTGGTATTATCAAACTTTGGATCTCTGTTTATCTGGCTTTGACACTGCTCCTGCAGAGAGGAAATACAGGGTGGCTCCTCTTTATTGCCAACTTAAGTAGGAGTTCTGATTCCCCATTAGGCCTTCACTGAGATACCTCCCTAACTGGGAGGGATGGGAGTGCCTCATTACTACCCCTCACATGGCCTTCCTGGACACTTTGTTACTGCCTGGTTTTAGGCTTTCCTGGAAAGTGTAGGCTGTCCTTGAAATTTTGTTCATCTAAGTGGATATTGGACCACAGATTTTTCTGTGGTGTTTGGCTGAATTGTGGTTTTGTCTAAAAGTTTCTTGTCTTGCAAAGCTGCTCTTTTCTTAGCCCTTTGGCTAGAGAGAGCAGGCTTATGTTGGGGCTTTTTTGTCTGCAGTTTCCAGGTTGCCAGCTCTTTCAGCTGCAAGTCTGGGAAATATGAGGCATCAAGAAACTTCTAGAATTTCTAATATTTTCATCTATTTTTATACCAAGGTTTTAAAACATATATGTATTATCTTTTCCTAATGATATTAAAAGCTTATTTAAAATTGTTTTTCATTTGACTGCAATTGACACACAGTCTTATATTAGTTTTGGGTATACAACATAGTGATTCAACTTTTATATACGTTATTCTATGCTCTACAACAAATATTAGCTACCTACTGTCACCATATAACACTATTACAGTATCCTTGACTATATTCCAGTGCTGTGCTTTTTATTCCTAGGACTTATTCCTTCCATAACTGGTAGTTTACATCTCCCACTTCCTTTACCCATTTTGTCCTTCTCTCCAGCAACCATCAATTTGTTCTCTGTATTTGAAGGTTGATTCTTTTTGTTTGTTTGTTTGTTTGTTTTTGGTTCTACTTTCTGAATGAAATCAGATGGTATTTGTGTTTCTCAGTATTATTTCACTTAGCATAATATTCTCTAGGTCTATCCATGTTGTCACAAATGACAAAATCTCATCTGTTTTTATGACTGCATAATATTCCTGTGTGTGTGTGTGTGTGTGTGTGGTGTGTGTGTGTGTGTGTGTGTGTGTGTGTGTGTGTGTGTGTATGCCACATCTTTTTTATCCAGTTGTCTGTTGATGGACACTTAGGTTGCTTCCATATCTTGGCTATTATAAATAATGCTGCAATAAACAGAGGAGTGCACATACCTTTTTGAGTTAATGTTTTTGTTTTCTTTGGGTAGATAACTAATAGCAGAATTGCTGGATCATACGGTATTTCTATTTTTAATTTTTTGAAAAACGTCCCTACTGTTTTCCACTGTAGCTATACCAGTTTACATTCCTATCCACAGTGTATGAGGGTTCCTTTTTTTGATTTAGAATTTACTGACCATATATTTAAATAAATTAGATTGCATCTGTTACGCCATTCACCACCCAATCATTGTGTTTTTTGATACCCATAAAACCTCCATATACCTCTTTAATTTTAATATGTAGAAATTCTAAACAAATACTTGTTACCCATATTTAAGTTACTTCAAAGTGTGGGTATGTACCCTCATCTGCAGCAGTGTGAAATGGTTTTCCTTTATTTGGTTCTTAATATATATGTCGAATATCATAAAAGCTTATGTTATTTTAGAAATATTTTAATGCCAGTATGTGTGTTTTGCCCATTGTCTTTATTCACCATGAGAATCATCCATGATTCTAACCATGTATTTTATTCTGCAATTGTTAAAAAAGTTATCAAAATCACTGTGATGGTTATAATCATACTGAGTTGTAAAGCAGTGAGGCCCTAGATGATCACTTTATAAGCTAACACTGTAAGATACACACCCGATAAGCTATTTATCAGTAATGCTGGAGGAGTGAAGGACCTATAGTTATCTACCTCTCTGCTCAATTGATTTCTCTGTGCCAGAAACATATCATATTATGTTCTTAAATATTTTCAAATTCTCAGTTTTCCTAACTTTTTTCATAGAAAAGTACCATTTCCAATTTCTTAATTCTTGTAGACTGCTTATTTCTATTTTCGAATGTTTATTTATTTTGAGAGAGAGAGTGCATGTGTGTGTGAGTGGGAGGATAGGCAGAGAGAAAGGGAAAGAATGAATCCCAAGCAGGCACTGCACTGGCAGCACGGAGCCTGATGTGTGGAGCTCTATCTCACGAATTGTGAGATCACGACCTGAACCAAAATCAAGAGTTGGACGCTCAACTGACTGAGCCACCCAGGTGCCCCAGACTGCTCATTCTTTTAGAAAAGTAATCAGAAATAATTTTTAAAAGTTGATTGTAAAATTACTTTTAATTTTGTATATTTCTAATCCATTTTTTAATTAGAAAAAAATTGACTTTTTCTAGTTTCTATATTTGATTGTAGTATTTGAAATATATTATGGATATAGACAAATATACTAAGATAATACATATTTTTAACAGCATTCAACTATGACATCAACATTGAGGAGACTGGGTGAAGACATATTCAAAGGAGTAGTAACTAAGGGAATTCAGGATAATTCTTTAGACCATTCAGTGGAGAATAAACCAAAGACAGCTGCTTTCTTTAAGAGCTCCAATTTACCATTGAGATTTTTATCAACTTTAATTGTTCTCAAAACAGTCACTCAAGGTAAGCTTTCAAATGTGCTTATGGTATAATTTTTCATAAACAAGTAGAAGAGAATACTATATAATGAAGCAACTCTTACATAGTCAAATATGTTTTCCATTTTTAGAATGAGATTTTATAATGGTGGCACATTATAGTAAGCTTTTATTTGCTAAATTTGAGAAAATGGATTAGTCAGTTGGATTGTTGCCCCCTCCCAGAAGACTTTGTTGATTCTCTTAGATCATGTTCCCATGATAATATTATTGTATTCACCATAAAGTATTGAAATTCCTAATATGTTATTTTTTACTGGAGCATGTGTTGGCAGACTATAGCCTAGTGATCAGATCTGGCCCCACCACCTGTTGTGTAAATAAAGTTTTATTTAAACACATGCATGCTCACTTTTTACCCGTTGTCTATGACTGTTTTTGTCTTATAACAACAGAGGTGAGTAGTTGACAACAGAGACTATATGGCCCCCTAGATGCATATATTATTATGTGGCCCTCTACAGCAAAATTTTGTCAATCCCTACACTAGTTTGTAAGTTGACTGAAGAAAAATTGCCTTGTTTACTACTGTATCCCCCTGCAACTAGCATAGTGCTTGATGTATAATAGTGAATAGGAAATTAATGGATTAAAAATAATGTTTCAATCAAAGTTGACCATTTTATATATAGTTTTGATATATACCTGTAAGGAGTTATGTTTTTGGGTTACTAAACAGGTGATTTCTTGTTAAAGTAAGCCATACCAATATAGTCAGACATTAAGTATGCATCCTTTTATCTTTCCTATTTGTTAAATTATGTAACTCAGTGTAGGGGGTTTTTTCAGTGGGAAATGGCAATAACTTAATTTTACTACTATATCTGAAAGTGTGTATGATTTAGTTACACCTGATTATGGACTTTTACAACAACAACAATATGAAACTATAACTATCTTCTTAATTATTTTTTCCTTATGTTTATGGTTCTCATAGTTAAACACATTGGCAACGGTTTGAAAGGTCATTTATGAGAAGGGTGTATTAGCCCAAAATAAAGTTCACCACATACCAACATACATTACAACATCATTTGATAAAATGATCACTGATAAAACTAATGCAATAGAGATAAAACAAGAGAGAATGGGTACTCTCTGTCACCTTCTATGGAATTCAATATTGGACATGCTGACAGTCTTCAATGATCCATTAAAAAAAAGGAAAGAAATGAATATTGGAAAGGAATACAGAAAACTATTAATAGTCTTAAACTATTAATAAAAAACTATTAAATTTGTGGATACTCTCTATAAATCAAGTCCATCCAATAAGACTAGCTAAGAAATATATTGAATATAATGTGCTATGATCTGAATATTTGTGTCCCCTAGAAATTCATGTGGTGAAATACTAACCCCCAGAGTTGATGCTGTTAATAGTTGGGGTCTTTAAGAGGTGCTTATTAGATCATGAGGGTAGAGCCCTTGTGAATGGAATTAGTGCCCTTATAAAAGATACTCCATGGAGATCTCTCTCTTTAGCCCCTTACATCATGTTGAGGACACAGTGAGAAAGAAGTTGTAGGCTGTGAACCAGGGAGAGGGTCTTCACCAGAAAGTGATCATACTGGCAACTTTGTCTTGTATTTCTCCACCTCCAGAACTGTAAGCAATAAAATATCTATTATATATAAGCTACACAGTCTGTGGTATTTGCTATAGCAGCCTGATAGAATTTGTTTCAGAAAATCAAAGAAAATTCACAAAGTCTATTGACTTTCAATAACTATCATTATCATCTATGACTATCTATGGCTATAGTATGACTACTATGAATATCACTAACAAATAGCAATAATATATTTTTTAAAAAGACTTATTAATATAAATAAAACAAAAAGTGTAAAATATGGATATGTCTAGTATGGTGTCTGTAAACTTAACCCTTTGTGAAATATAATAGGGCATAAAGATATGGTAAATAATGGATGAATGAACAGGGTAATAAAGATTATAGATGAAGTTAAATGACATAAATAAGGGACTTTTATTCTTCCTTATAAATATTTTAAAAACTATAAGATACTCCAAGTGACGTAGTTTAATAATACCAATGAGAATTCAACTATAGTTTAAGTTGAGAAAGTGGTCAGGAAAGGTGAAAAAACACTTGAAATGAATGTGATCATTTAAAACAAGTAAAACAGCAACATGGGTCATGGCTTGCCTGAGAAGATTTTAAAGCAACCTTGATAGAGTCCAGGAAGAAGGCAGACTAGAAAGATCCTGAGCTTACCTCCTCTCGGGGATACGGCAAAGCTGCAACTACAAATAGAGCAATTCTTTCTGCAAATGGCCTGAAGACTATGGAGAACAGCTATTCCACAGCTAAAGACACAAGGAAAAAGTCACATGAAGAAGGGTAGGAGGGACAGAGACATGGTCTGTTTAAGAACCAAATACATGCTGTGGTGGTCAAGAATCAGGAAGGACATCACAGGTGCAGAGACCTCTCTAGGAGTGAGGGGTTCGAGCCCTGCATTGGGCACCCCACCCTAAGGATCTGCACTGGGAAGATGAGCCCAATAATGTCTGGCTTTGAAAAACAGTGGGTCATAACTCTAGGAGTGCTGAAGGGCTATAGGAAATGGAGACTCTGCTCTTAAAGTGCCCATGCACAGTCTCATGTAGACAAAGCACGGGGAAACAGTTTGAAAAGCACCTGGGCCATAAATGAAGGAGATTCATTGACTAATTATAGGGCATGTGCTTGGAGGAATAGGGATCTATAGGAACTTTCTCTAGGAACAAAGTGCTGGCAGGTGCCATTTTTATTGCCCTCCTCAGCCTAGCAAGGCATGATGCTGGCATGCCTTTTGACACTCCCTATCTACCTTAATGGCACTGCTTGCTCTCTACCAGTGTTCCCCTGTGAATATGCCCATCCCAAAGCACTTGCCCGAGCAGGCACATTTTTAAAGCGCCTCCTGCCCTTCTTCACACTAGTGGTTGGCCCCACCAACCAGCACACCTGCAGCAATCGACAGCTGGTCCCCTCATCCAGCTGTGCCAGGGCCAGACCCTCCCACCAGTACGTCCATAGTAGTCATGGCTGGGCATTGGTGGGCAGCTGGTTCAGTGGTCACCTCAACCCACCAGTTGGCACAGCATTTGTAGCCCAGTCACAACAGGTAGGTGCACATAGCCCACAAGGATACACTGCTTGAGGGTTGAGTTCTGGTGATCAGAGTACACTGTGATTCTGGACCCTCCAGGATGTTTTCTATGTAAAGCCATTACTTTCAAGATCAGGAGATATACTAATCTACCTAATGCATAGAAACACAGACAAAATGAGGAGACAGAGAAATATGTTCAAAATGAAAGAACAAGACAAAACCTCAGAAAAAGATCTAAACAAAATAGATAATCTACCTGATAGAGTTTAAAATAATGGTCATAAAGAGGACTCCTGAACTTGGGAGAACAAACACACTAGAGGAGTCAACAGCAGATTAGAGAATGCAGAAGAACAGGGTGCCTGGGTGGCTCTTCAATCTGGGAGACAGAGTAGTGGAAATCATGCTGAACAGCAAAGAGAGAAAAGACCATAGAAAAGTGAGATAGGTTAAGTGACCTCTAGGACAACATTAAGCATACTAATAACTTCATTATAGGGGTCCTAAAGGAAAAGAGAGAGAAAGGGATAAAGAACTTACTTGAAAAAAATAATAGCTGAAAACTTTCCTAACCTGGGGTGGGAAATAGACATCCAGTTCCAGGAAGCACAGAGAACCTCAAACAAGAGGAACCCAAAGGAATCCACACCAAGAAACGTAATAATTAAAATGTAAAAAATTAGAGGGTCGACTGGGAAGATGGAAGAGTAGGGGGACCCTAAGCTCTCCTCATCCCCTAGATACAACTGGAGAACACATCAGCGTAAATAACCCAAAAAATGATTTGAAGACTGGCAGAACAAACTCCACAACTAAAGGTAGAAAAGAGGCCACATTAAAAAAGGTAGGAAGGGCAAAGACATGGTCTGGGAGCAAAGCAGACCATGGCTGTCTATGGTGGGGAGGGAGCCAGTGGTACAGAGAAGGTTGAAAACAGACTTTCACACTGAGGAACCCACGAATGGGAAGGATGAATCCCCATTACATTTGCCTTTGAAAGCAAGAGGGGCCAAACTTCGTGACTTCTTACAACCAGTGAGACTTACCACCTATAATTTTCATTTTCATTTAGTTTAATTTAGTTTAATTTAATTTTTTGAGAGAGAGAACAAGCTGGGGAGGGGCAGAGAGAGAGAGACAGAGACAGAGAGAGAGAGAGAGAGAGAGAGAATCCCAAGCAGGCTCCGCACTGTCAGCACAGAGCCCACTGAGGGGCTTGAATTCACGAATCTTGAGATAATGACCTGAGCTGAAATCAAGAGTCAGCTGCTTAACTGACTGAGTCACCCAGGTGCCCTTTAACACCTGGAATTTTAAAAATCAGCATCTCAGCTCTGGGGGAGCCTTGAGGGCATTAGGAAGTAGAGTCTACCATTAACGTGACAGCAGGACAGACAGCTGGTGTAAATAACAGCATAGAACCATCAATTTGAAAAACTCCAGGGGCAGATGGGAGGGAGAGTGATTTGCTCATCTTCAAGCATGGCTTGGAGAGACGGGGATCATGGGGAGACCTCTCCAGGAGCAAAGAAGCTGGCAGGCACATTTCCCTCCTGCATAAAACAAAACAAAACAAAACAAAACAGCCATCTGCCAAAACCAGTGCAGTGCTGACACTTTTTACCTAACTCGTTACACCAAGCCTGTGGCCTCCCACTTTGGTGGATCCACTCTTTGGAGTCACACTTGCCTTAGTTTGCTGCAGTCCCTCCCCCCCAGAAGACCAGTACAAACCCTGCCAAGACATCTCCTAACCTACATGTCTGAAGGACCTCAGTTCCACTGGTGGCAGGGGCAGGTCTCCTTTCTCACGCAAACCACTGCACACGTTAAAATTCTCCCC